AAATAAGGCAGTTATAAGAGGAAAAAATAGGTTGGTGACAAATGTGCAGCTTAGTGGTCTGACAACTAGGAAAGAAGTATAAAAAACGACATCGGCGTAATCATAAGCAGTTAGTTAGAGAACAGTGGTTTGGTCAGTTGTCACAATCATGGCCATTCTCGCCACAAAGAAAAGTGGCATGAAAATTGACTACCTTCCTGCTCATACAGTAAATAATAACGATAAACACAAGCAAAATATTCCTTCGGTTACAGAAATTTAAACGCCCCGTTTATTTCGTTGATTCGAGTTTAGATGTAATTTTATGTGAGAATTTTTTATTGTAATAAAAAAATTAGACGTGATTGTTTATAAGAACTTTTTACTGTAAAAAAACTCAAATCAGCGAAATGAACGTGACCTTTGTCAATTTACTCTATCAAAAGTTGGAGAGCAAAAGGGAAAAGTGAAAGTGCCATGTATTTTGCTGTTCCAAAACATGCTTCTGTACCTTTTCTTCAACTTTCCCTCTTTATCCATGTGAAAGAAGAATCAAATGCAAAATACTGAAATAGATTTCTCACCTTGCTTATTTTCTTTTAAATTAACTAAAAACTACTAATAATTCTTACATGTCAAGAACTTCAGAGATAACTGATAAGTGCTTACCACCATCATTTCCTACGCAACAATTCCTAAGAACATCAATCACTTAAGGACTAAAATGAAGATTTCTTATCTCATCACAGCACAATTCAGTCCCTTATGTACAAACTTTTCAGCTCAAGTAAAGCTTAATTATTCTTGTCTAGCTAGACTAAATGCGAAGTTTTGACAATTCTACTTTCCATCCTCTGTTTACCTTCTCAATAAAATCTTCCACTCTCTTCCTCAGCTCATCATCATCTTCATCATCCTTGTCGTCGTCATCGTTGTCATCGCAGACTGCTTTCTCCGCATTTGAGATTTCTTTCACGACCACTAATTCGTTCTTTGCCTCGCGATATTCATCTTTTGAATCCACTATTACGTCTTTACCACTTGCGCTTGTGTTGGAGACAGCCGGCGGAGGAGTATCACTTGCTTGCTGCTCGAATTCGGAGCCCGGTTTCGAGCCCACGAGGATGATGACTATGATCAAGTTGCAGAAGCAGAAGGCAAACAGAAAGCTTGAAGCAGTTTGGGTGATCAAATCCAACGTGACATCCAACATGGCTAGTGGGATTTGAAAGAAGAAGTTCTAACGAAAAAAAGAGAGAGAAAGAAATGAAGAAGAAAATAAGGTGGGGGCTATTGATTTCTGTTAGAAGAGTTGAAGATGTTATGAGAGTATTTAAAGATGTTATAGACATATATTATTTGAAGGGAAAAATATGAAGAGTAGAGAGGAAGCTTTTGTTTGGTAGATGGTGAAGTGTGTTGGGAAAGCTTTTGTTTGGTAGAAGTTGGGAAGTTTCTTCCCAATTGGTGACTTGAGCGGGGTCTTCTGTTTATTATTGTATTGTAAAGTTCGTTGTACCATCCAATAATCTCACATGGGCCCTTCTCCGCAATGCCTTGGAATGTCATCAAGCTAGCATCACCAAAGGCAGTCTTTACTGTATTTGAATTGTGATTATCTCTTGCTTATAAGATGATTGTTTTTGTTTTCTTTAAAACACTTGGGGTGATTTTACATGAAACGGAAAAATTCTGAAATTCGTAAGGCTCGTACCAGTAAATGGCAATTTTTATGGCAGGAAGACTTTTTTACTTTACCGATAGGTACTTCTGTTTTAAACATTTAATTAACTTTTTAACGGTTAGATCTGTGAGTATTCATGTTAAAAATTTGAGGCGCATGACGAAAAACTGTTTCCAGTCATAAATAAGACTAGATGTGAAAGTTCAGGCTGCTCATTCTGGACCCGGCAGCTCAATGAAAATTTTGGGCCAGGCCGAAATAGGAGTGAGATGACGCAGCCAGCCCTAAAGCTTAGGACCAGGACCAGCCAAGAAATTTATAAGGTATTAAAAAAAAAATCTTTAAAAAGATGGCGTTCGGCCCGACCCAAATAAACTTTGTGGGCTCAAAACCTTGGCACGACATGGCCTAGAGGTTAGTTCCGAGTTGGGTCGGGCACGGGCCAACAGTTGAAGGCCTTGGGGCGGCCCGTTTGATATGGTCTAAAAAATCAAACCGTTAAAAAGTTAATCCAATAATTAAAAACCAGTACCTACTAGGAGAGGGAAAAAAAATCTTCTTTAACATTAATATTGCCATAAAAAATAAAAAAAATAATTGCCCTAGTAAATAGACTTTTTAAAGATAAAATTATGTTTTTATTATCAATCGAATAGGGATTTTTTACTTTGCCACTGCAAGGCCTTTTTTTTTTTTGGGAAAGAACGTTATTTATCGTCGCTAATGATGCACACACTGAAGACACCCTAACTATATATTCGTGCATCAAAACATAAAAACTATCACCTGATCACAGTGATGCATCAAAATACAATATTGTATTGTACTGTGAGACTTTTTTAAAAATAAAAAAATTGGTGTGATAATTGACAACTTATTTCCCTAAAGCGCACACATAAAAGAATTGGTGTGATAATTGACACTCTAAGTAGTTAGCTTACGCCTTGTTTGCTTTGCTGTTAAGATTGTGTGATTTAGTTGAAATTGTGGTGATTTGAATTGCGACTCAAACCGGTATTTGAATACGTAAATTAATTGTAATTTGAATTAGGAATAAAATTGAAACTGTATTTGAATAAAGTGTTAAACTATGTCATTAGAGTTTTGTAACAATTTTTATAAAACCTCATTGTAAATGACATTAAAAAATATGCAATATGAATGAAGAGTAAAAATAATTTTAATTGTTAGAATTTACAGGAGGGGGTACTATGGTTTAAATTGAATTGTTAAATTTGAGTTGTTAAAATATACATGGCTTAGTCATTTGTGCAAGATGATTGTCTTTTGCTTATAAGATGATTGTTTTTGTTTTCTTTAAAACATTTAGGTGATTTTACATGAAACGGAAAAATTCTGAATTTCGGAAGGCTTGTACTAGTAAACGGCAATTTTTATGGTAGGAAGACTTTTTTTACTCTACCGATAGGCACTGTTGTTTTAAATATTGAATTAACTTTTTAACGGTTAGATATGTGAGTATCCATGTTAAAAATTTCAAGCGCGCGACGAAAAACTGTTTTCAGTCATAGATAAGATTAGATGTGAAAGTTCGGGCTGCTCGTTCTAGACCCGGTGGCTCAAATGGAAATTCTAGGCCAGGCCGAAATAGGAGTGAGATGACACAGCCCAATCCTAAAGCCCTAAAGCTTAAGACCGGCCAAAAATTTTATAAGGTATTTAAAAAATAATCTTTAAAAAGATGGCGTTTGGCCCGACCCAAATAAACTTTGTGGGCTCAAAACCTTGGCACGACATGGCCTAGAGGTTAGTTCCGAGTTGGGCCGGCATGGGCCAACAGTTGAGGGCCTTGGGGCGGCCCGTTTGATATGGTCTAAAATTACGACTTTAAATCAAACCGTTAAAAAGTTAATCCAATAATTAAAAAGCAGTACCTACTAGTAGAGGGAAAAAAATCTTCCTTAACATGAATATAGCCTTAGTCATTTCAAAAAAATAAAAAATAAAAAAAATAATTGCCCTAGTAAATAGACTTTTTAAAGATAAAATTATGTTTTTATTATCAATGGAAGAGGGGTTTTTTAGTTTGCCACTGCAAGGCCTTTTTTTTTTGGGCAAGAATGTTATTTATCGTCACTAATGATGCACACACTGAAGACGCCCTAACTATATATTCGTACATCAAAACATAAAAACTATCACCTTATCATGATGATGCATCAAAATACAATATTGTATTGTACTGTGAGACTTTTTTAAAAATAAAAAAAAATTGTGTGATAATTGACAACTTATTTCCCTAAAGCCCACACATAAAAGAATTGGTGTGATAATTGACACTCTAAGTAGTTAGCTTACGCCTTGTTTGCTTTGCTGTTAAGATTGTGTGATTTAGTTGAAATTGTGGTGATTTGAATTGCGACTCGAACCGGTATTTGAATACGTAAATTAATTGTAATTTGAATTAGGAATAAAATTCAAACTATATTTGAATAAAGTGTTAAACTATGTCATTAGAGTTTTGTAACAATTTTTATAAAACCTCATTGTAAATGACATTAAAAAATATGCAATATGATTTAAGAGTAAAAATAATTTAAACTGTTAGAATTTATAGGAGGGGGTACTATGGTTTAAATTGAATTGTTAAATTTGAGTTGTTAAAATATACATGGCTTAGTCATTTATGCAAGATGATTGTCTTTTGCTTATAAGATGATTGTTTTTGTTTTCTTTATTTAGGTGATTTTACATGAAACAGAAAAATTCTGAAATTCAGAAGGCTTGTACTAGTAAATGGCAATTTTTATGGTAGGAAGACTTTTTTTACTCTACCGATAGGCACTGCTGTTTTAAATATTGAATTAACTTTTTAACGGTTAGATATGTGAGTGCCCATGTTAAAAATTTAAAGCGCGCGACGAAAAACTGTTTCCAGTCATAGATAAGATTAGATGTGAAAGTTCGGGTTGCTCGTTCTAGACCCGGCGGCTCAAATGGAAATTCTAGGCCAGGCCGAAATAGGAGTGAGATGATGCAGCCCAATCCTAAAGCCCTAAAGCTTAAGACCGGCCAAAAATTTTATAAGGTATTTAAAATTTTTTTTTTTTAAAAAGATGGCGTTTGGCCCGACCCAAATAAACTTTGTGGGTTCAAAACCTTGGCACGACATGGCCAATAGGTTAGTTCCGAGTTGGGTCGGGCACGGGCCAACAGTTGAGGGCCTTGGGGCGGCCCGTTTGATATGGTCTAAAATTACGACTTTAAATCAAACTGTTAAAAAGTTAATCCAATAATTAAAAACCAGTACCTACTAGTAGAGGGAAAAAAAGTCTTCCTTAACATGAATATGGCCTTAGTCATTTCAAAAAAATAAAAAATAAAAAAAAAATAATTGCCCTAGTAAATAAACTTTTTAAAGATAAAATTATGTTTTTATTATCAATCGAATAGGGATTTTTTACTTTGCCACTGCAAGACCTTTTTTTTTGAGAAAGAACGTTATTTATCGTCGCTAATGATGCACACAATGAAGACGCTTTAACTATATATTCGTGTATCAAAACATAAAAACTATCACCTGATCACGGTGATGCATCAAAATACAATATTGTATTGTACTGTGAGACTTTTTTAAAAATAAAAAAAAAATTGTGTGATACTTGACAACTTATTTCCCTAAAGCGCACACATAAAAGAATTGATGTGATAATTGACACTCTAAGTAGTTAGCTTACGCCTTGTTTGCTTTGCCGTTAAGATTGTGTGATTTAGTTGAAATTGTGGTGATTTGAATTGCGACTCAAACCGGTATTTGAATACGTAAATTAATTGTAATTTGAATTAGGAATAAAATTGAAAAAAAAAAATTGTGTGATACTTGACAACTTATTTCCCTAAAGCGCACACATAAAAGAATTGATGTGATAATTGACACTCTAAGTAGTTAGCTTACGCCTTGTTTGCTTTGCCGTTAAGATTGTGTGATTTAGTTTAAATTTTGATAATTTGAATTGCGACTCGAACCGGTATTTGAATATGTAAATTAATTGTAATTTGAATTAGGAATAAAATTCAAACTGTATTTGAATAAAGTGTTAAACTATGTCATTAGAGTTTTGTAACAATTTTTATAAAACCTCATTGTAAATGACATTAAAAAATATGCAATATGAATGAAGAGTAAAAATAATTTGAATTTTTAGAATTTACAGGAGGGGGTACTATGGTTTAAATTGAATTGTTAAATTTGAGTTGTTAAAATATACATGGCTTAGTCATTTGTGCAAATTGCCAAATTCTAACCGAGATGTTTGTCGTTTCTAAGGTTTGAACCTATGTTGAGGAAGAGATCAACGCATCTTTCACTACTCTGCCCACATTGTTTGTTTTACTTAAGCAATGAAATTATTTATTACATTTCTACATGTTCTAAAATTGACAAAAGAAATGCAAGAAGTCCCACATTGGAATAGAAAGGTTGAGTTAATACCTCACTCGCTTTATATAAAGCAGCACCGTGAATTTTCTTCTGAGCTTCCCCGAGGCGCCTTTTAGTTGGATATATATGTTGGACCAAATCCACATTTTTCTGTAGATCCGTCTTTATTGAAGAAAAAAATTCTTTTATATG